GTGTTGCATGGCTAGACCCCAGCCAATGTCTTTGCAGAACCTGGACCCCATTGCATTGTATGGCCAGAACCCAGTCAATGCATTTGGAGGCCCTGAGTTAATAGCGGTAGATGGCTGGAGTCAAAACGATGCCTTGGAGGCCCTGAGTCTAATGGAATGCATGGCCACAGTCCAGCCATGGCCTTGGGAGACCCTGAGTCCATTGTTTTCCATGGTCAGATCACAGCTATTGCATTCGCAGGCCCTGGACCCCATTGTGTCGCATGGCCAGAGCCTGGTCAATGCCTTTGGAGGCCCCGAGTCCAATGTGGCACATGTCCAGAGTCCAGCCATTGGCTATGGAGGCCCTGGGTCCATTGTAATGCATGGCCAGAGCCCGGCCAATGCCTTGGGGCTTTGAATCCCACTGTGTTGCATGGCCAGAGTCCAGTCATTGTCTTTGGAGGCCCTGAACCCCATTGTGTTGCATGGTCAGAACCCAGCCAATGACTTTGCATGCCCTGAACCCCATTGTAGTGCACGTCTAGAGCTCAGCCATTGCTTTTGGAGCCCCGGACTCCATGGTGGCAGATGGCTGGAATCAAAACAATGCCTTGGGGTCCCATTGCATTGCATGGCCAAAGCCCAGCCAATGCCTTTGCATGCCCTGGACCCATTGCAATGCATGGTCAGATCCAAGCTATTGCCTTTGTAGGCCTTGCATTCCATTGTAATGTATGGCCAGAGCCCAGCCAATGTCTTGGGGCTTTGGACCCCATTGTGTTGCATGGCCAAAGCCCAGTCATTGCCTTTGGAGGCCATAGATCTCATTGTGTTTCATGGCCAGAGTCCAAAAATTGTCTTTGCAGAACCTGGACCACCACTGCATTGTATGGCCAGAGCCCAGCCATTGCTTTTGCAGGCCCTGGACCCCATTGGGTCGCATGGCTGGAGCCTGGTCAATGCCTTTGGAGGCCCTGGGTCAATTGTAAAGCATGTCCAGAGGCCAGCCACTGCCTCGGGGCTTTGGATCCCATTGTGTTGCTTGGCCAGAACCCAGTCAATTGTTTTGCAGGCCCTGGGACCATTGTGTTGCATGGTCAGAGCCCAGCCAATGCCTTTCGAGACCCTGAGTCCAATATATAGCATGGCCAGAGCCCGGCCATTGCATTTGGAGGCCCTGGATCCTTTGTAATGCATGTCAAGAGCCCAGCCCATGCCTTGGGGATTTGCACCCCGTTGTGTTGCATGGCCGAAGCCCAGCCATTGCCTTGGGACGCCCTGAACCCCATTGTTTTGCATGGCCAGAGCCCAGCCATTGCCTTGGGACGCCCTAAATTCCATAGTTTTGCATGGCCAGATCCCAGCTATTGCTTTTGCAGGCCCTGGACCCCATTGGGTCGCATGGCTGGAGACTTTCAATACCTTTGGAGGCCCTGGGTCCATTGTAATGCATGTCCAGAGGCCAGCCACTGCCTTGGGGCTTTGGACACCATTGTGTTGCATGGTCAGAACCCAGTCAATTGTTTTGCAGGCCCTGAACCCCACTGTGTTGTATGGCCAGAGCCCAACCAATGCTTTTCGACACCCTGGATCCAATATATTGCATGGCCAGAGCCCGGCCATTGCATTTGGAGGCCCTGGACCCATTGTAATGCATGTCCAGAGCCCAGCCCATGCCTTGGGGCTTTGGACCCTATTGTGTTGCATGGCCAAAGCCCAGTCATTGCCTTGGGAGGCCCTGAACTCCATTGTTTTGCATGGCCAGATTCCAGCTATTGCGTTTGCAGGCCTTGGATTCCATTGTGTTGCATGGCTGGAGCCTGGTCAATGCCTTTGGAGTCCCTGGGTCCAATGTAGTGCAGGTCTAGAGTTCAGCCATTGCTTATGGAGGCCCTGGGTCCATTGTAATGCATGTCCAGAGGCCAATGAATGCCTTGGGGCTTTGGACCCCATTGTGTTGCATGGTCAGAACCCAGTCAATTGCCTTTGCAGGCCCTGGGACCATTGTGCTGTATGGCCAGAGCCTGGCCAGTGCTTTTCGAGACCCTGAGTCCAATATATTGCATGGCCAGAGCCCGGTCATTGCCTTTGGAGGTCCTGGGTCCACTGTAATGCATGGCCGGAGCCTGGTCAACGGAGCCTGTGTCCAACGTAGTGCATGTCCAGAGTCCAGCCATTACCTACGGAGGCCTTGGGTCCCTTGTAACGCATGGTCAGAACCCAGCCAATTGATTTGCAGGTCCGGGGTCCATTGTGTTGCATGGCTGGAGCCTGGTCAAGGCAGAGAAAGGAGGGCTACAAATGCCACAAACAAACAAACAAATAAAAATAAATAAATACTAAATTTGGAGGCCCTGAGTCCAAAGTAGCACCTGTCCAGAGCCTGGCCATTGCTTATGGAGGCTCTGTGTCTATTGTAATGCATGGCCAAAGCCTTTTGAGACCCCGAGCCCAATAGATAGCATGTCCAGAAGCTGACCGTTCCCTTTGGAGGGTCATCCAAAGAGAGGCGTCCCTTACCGGCTCTTCCAGCCTGAAGACGAGGGAGAAGAAGAGGATGAAGAGGACGGCCGAGGACTTGGTCATGGTGTACCTGCGGAGAGAGAGAGGAGGGGGGACAATGGGGTTGGTCAGGTGAGGAGTCCCTTTGGGGCTGGTCAGCCCCTCCGGCCCCTTTTGGTCTTACTCACAGGGAGACCGTGATGTAGAGGAAGCTCCAGTTGCTGAGGCCGACATCCAAGGCGGTGGAGAGCGCTGGGGAGAGGAAGAAGCAACGTTGGGGCAGGTATGGACCAAGCTGGGCCCTCCAGGTGTTTTGGACTACAACTCCCACAATTCCTAACAGCC